AGAAATGCTCCTTGATCTAAGCATTTCAATGCTACATATATACTCCAAGGAGGCCACTGACAAAAATGAAGACTTCACATACATCAAAACATTCACAGAAGCCTTTTTGTGGTTAACAAAGATAATGAAATAAAGTAGACTGAGAAATAACTAGAAAAAAATCATGGCACTTGAGTGTAATGGAGTATTACTATGCAGTAAGAAGGGGCAGTTAAGTGGTGCAGTAGATAGAGTGCTAAGCCTGAAGTCAGGAAGATTCACCTTCCTAAGTTCAAAACCAGCCTCAGACACTTACTAACTCTGTGACCCTGGGCAAGTCACTTAACCCTGTTTGCCTCAGTTCCTTATTTGTTAAGTAAGCTGGAAAAAGAAATGAAAACGACTTCAGTATCTTTGCCAAGAAAACCCCAAATAGGGTCACAAAAAATCAGACATGACTGAAATGATTAAACAATAAATGCTTTAAGAACTGATGAACATGATGAATAGAGAAGCATGGAAACATGTATGTGAACTGATGCAAAGTGAAGTTACCAAAATCAGGAAAACAACATGAACAAGGACTAATAACAAGGGATAGAGAAGATAACAACATTCTGGAATAGTTTGTTTTGCTTTGCTTTTCCAAAAATGTAGGCTCTTCAAGAAGCAATAAGAAACCACAAGTAAATAAAGAGGAGGGGACAAAATCCCATAGGAAGCACAAATGCTGTGGATGGACAAGTCAATCAACATGCATGTATTAAACACCTACTATGTGCCAGTCACTCCTGACACACACAAAGAAAAAACAAAACAAAAAAATAGTCCTGCCCCTCAAGGAGTTTATATTCTGATATTCAAAAGCAAGTACATGTAATGATGTAATCTCCAAGGTCCTTTTTAATTCTAAAACCCTATAACCTTCTTTATCTGAAATGAATTGCTTCAATTTTGGTTCGTTTACATAAAACACCAGAGAAGTGAAATTGACTTTACCTTTAAACTATGGGTGAACACATCTAAGAATACCATGACAATACCAGTCCTCCAACAATTTCTAACGATGTCTTGCATGGTTCCCTATCCATTTGTTTTTTGTTTTAAAAGGAAAGAAAACTATCATTCCAAGAAACATATTTTTCCCATATTTGAAATATCACGCCACATATGTTGCAACTGCGGAGTGGCACACAGCTCCAAACTTATGTTTAGCCACATTTCCCAAATACTCAGGTTAAGAGAATAGAATGGGGGTGGGGGGAAGAATACATATGGTTTTTACTACATTTGTGGAAGATGCTATAAATGAACACATTAGATCTTTTCTAAACTGTCATTCTATTCATTTTTCACTACTAGCACCAATAAAGTATGTCATGTTAAAAATATTTTCTCTCAACTCATTATGGAGAGGCAGTGCTGTGCGATTGAATGAAACTCTGCTCTTGGAGACTTTGCTTCCATCCCTGTCTCTAATAGTTATGAGCTATATGAGCCTGGTTCCACAGCTGTGCCTCATTTACCTTCAGTATACTTCTTCAGAAAACAGGGTGTCATGTCATGGGGTTGTTGTGAGGATCAGGCAACATAATGGATGGATATAAAGGTGACTTCCACCTACTCTGTATGGGCCTTGTATGTTTGTAGCTATTTATATTCATACTTTCTTCCTCATTAGAATGGAATCTCCTGAAGGTCAGGGGTTGTATTTGCTCCTTTTTATTATTTTTTGTATCCCCAGCATATAATACCGTGACTGGCACGTAGTAAGCCCTCAATAAATGCTTCTTGACTGACAATGTAAAGAGTTTTGGAAACTTAATTTGCTATAGAAATATTAGATATTGTTATTGTATTGAACCCCATTTATATATTTTTTAAAAAGCCAAAAAAGAATATAGATATGATTCATTGTAGATTTTAAATATCATGCAGAAAGTCAGAGAGGATATCAAAACAAAAAAAAAATAAGGAGGGGAGGAAGAAATTTAGCTTTTAGGTCGATACACTTTTTCTTATACCCCATGCAAAGTAGACGCTATTAGATCCCAGTAACTAACATAAAATGTCAGCATCTGATTGTCTCACTAAGAGACTTTTATCTCCCATATTACTACTAGAAAAAAAAAGTTCCTTGCCTCAGTGCTTTTGATTTTCACAAAACTACAGGTCTTATTTTAATGACATCTTTCTCCTTTCCATTTCTGCGGAGGTGCTGCCTACAGGCTCATTCCTTCTAGGACAGTAATAACTCCTACTAACATAGCACTTTAAGCTTTACAAAGAAGTTGATTCTTCAGAATCGTGTGTCAGGTAGCACAAGTTTATAGTCCATATTTTAGAGATGAAGAAACTGAGACTCAGAGAATATCTGATTTACTCTGGGCTACACTGCTGCAAGAAAATTACGATTCAGAAGAAAGGCTCTGGGGCAGGTGGGATAGAGCCCTGGCCCTGGATTCAGGAGGACCTGAGTTCAAATCTGGCCTCAGACACATACCACTTACTAGCTGTGCGGCCCTGGGCAAGTCACTTAATCCCATTGCCTAGCAAAAAAAAATAAAAAAGAAGAAAGGCTCTACTGATCCCAAGTGCAGTGTTCTTTCCATTACATCCCATTACCTTTTATGAAGCACAAAGCAGAAAAGTTGACTTCGAGAATACCACCTGTCACGTAATGTATAGCTCTGATGACTGTTTATTACTTAAGATATTGATCATAGGGTCCAAAAGGTTTGGGACTTGTAGTGATACTGTGACTATCTGTACCTATCTATAAGTCTGATATCTTAAAACAATGACTTTTTTGTTGTTTCCGGTAGCAAGGACCTGATTTTGTGTTTCTATCTTGAACCCCTCTGTTTCTATTAACAAATCCATATGCCACTTGCTGTAAGTTTCTTTGACAACAAAGAAGAATGCATTTGGAGGAATTTGTGTAGATACTGCCCAATGGAGGGTCTTCCAGTTCTATTCTTAGAAATTAACCATTTTTTGGCAAATAATTTAGTGAGGGTGGTGGTGGAAGTTTGGGGAAAGATTTTGATAAAGATCACATTTCCAAGCTATATAAGGTATCAATTCAAATTTATAATAAGAGCCATTCCCCAACTGATAAATGGTCAAAGGCTAGGAAAATCCAGTCCTCATCAAAAGACATCCAAGCAATCAATAGTCATCTACATATTTTTCTAATCCTCCAAATTACAAACAATTAGAGAAATGTAAAATAAGTAACTCTGAAATACTATTTCATACTTCTCAAATTTGCAAGGTTGACAAAAGGAGAAAATGGCAAATGTCATAGGAGTGCAGAATTTTTTTAAAGGCACATAAATATAAAATTTATGGAGCTGTGAATTGTTCCAGCCATTCCAGAAAGCAATTTGGAATTATACCCCCTACATCACTAAATGGTTCACATTTGACCCAGTAATAATGCTACTAGTTTTATATACCAAAGAGATCAGCAAAAGAGGAAACACAACCCATATGTATAAAAATGTTTATAGCAGCTTTTTTTTTATAGTAGCAAGAACTGGAAACAGTTATGCGCTATCAGTTGGGGAATAGCTGGACAAATTATGATATATTGATTTAATACAATACTGCTGTGGTATATTAATGTAATGGAATACAATTTTGGTAGTGAGAAATGATGAATTGAATTATTTCAGAGAAGCCTGGTAATACTTGCATGAAGTAATGCAGAGTGATGTAAGCAGAGCCAGGAGGACAGTTTTTACAATAAGAACCAACACATTGAATTCAACTTTAAAATACTTAAGAATCCTGATCAATCCATTGATCTACCATGATTGCAAAAGACTGATATTGAACCATACTCCTACCTCCTGAAAGAGCAAGGAAATGGATTTGGTAGGTCCAAGATGAATAAGGAAATGTATATTTGGGGGTATGGGAATATGGGAATTTGTTGTTTTGCTTGACTTTGAATATTTAAGATGGTTTTAATTTTCTTTTTTTAAGTGAGTGGGGTGGGAGAAAGAGAAAATAAATGCTTGTTTATTTCATGAGAATAAAACAACAACAACAAAAAGATCTTAGCCTTTTCAAAGGTTTCATTCGGAGGTAAAGATTTAAAATTCTATCAGTCAGATTTGATAAATTCAGTGGTAGTCACTTGTACTATTTAATGTTGTCTGCTTTTATTGATGCTTTCTAAAATGATAGCTGTTTGTTCCAGCACTGTTTTTATAAATTGTAAGCCTGTTTATCATCCAATCTGAGGGTATGTATGAGTTTTCTTTCTCATTTTGGAAAAGGAAGAATTAGTTTTTTCCATAGTTACCTTAGGGTGACAAGCCCTCATCAAATGCAATAATATTTGTTAAGAAGTGCTTAGCCCAGTGCTAGGCACATATCAGGCACTAGAGAAAAGCTTCATCCCTTAGTCTCTTTCCTATATTGTATTGGCTGTGGTCTAGATATTTCTTGAATCCATTACTATTCATCTTACTGTTCCAAAGGTGAATGTTAAGACTCTAGATTGCAAAGGTTGATGGCTCTCAACATGCTGTTCCCGTTGGGGTGGGTTTCAGAATGCCAGTAAGTCTCTAAATGCAGGAAGCTATAGCTTTTTACAGGAAAACCTTATGCTTATTATGTCTTGCCTGGAGAAGGCAAAAGGATTTATATCACTTTTATCTACCACTTCTATTTGACTTCTGGATTCAGTTTGAAGATTTCATTCTCTATTGTCCGTTGACAGAATCTATGAATGTTATACCTCCAATTCATTAATCAGGAATAAACTGCCTTCATAAACTGAGGACTCTAGTTGATGTATATTTGTGGATTTTGTTTATACTCTTTTCCTTGTTTTGTTAAAGTTTAGATTTTCTATCTCAGAGATCATGTGCATTCAAAGGAAATTTCTTCATATAAACAGCAACATAACAATGTATGAGAGTGTGTGTGTGTTCTAAGTGAATAGGCTGAGAACATTTTCAGGAATTCTTATAATTCTTATAAATAATGATGAGCTCCACTCTTACCCTAGTGTGGGTCCGGATATGCATCTTCAATCCATCATTTTTGCTAAAAGCTTTGTCACAGTAATGACACTGGTATGGGCGCTCACCTGAAAGGGAAAGAAACCAACTTTAGGAAATAGAATGGGGATACCAAGCAGCTTCACCATTAACCAGTGGTCCACAAGTAGGAACACAGGAAGCTGCTAGGTTCTTAATACCATATCACTCTCAGGATAATAGTAATAATAATAATTCTCTCTCTCTCTCTCTCTCTCTCTCTCTCTCTCTCTCTCTCTCTCTCACACACACACACACACACACACACACACACACACACTCTCTGTGTGTGCATATGTATATATACCCACACAGAGACACATAGTTTATAAATATAGTACTCATACATATGTGTGTATATTTACAAATATGTATATACACACATATTAATTGTGCCTTTAAAAATTACCAAATACCTTACATACATGTCTTTCTTTGATGTTCAGCTCACTACTAAAATTGTTATCTCTATTTAATAGCTAGAAAACTGAGTCTACAGTTAAATGAATGGCCCAAGATCACAGAGCCTTGTCAAATGGGTTTCCTTTCCTTTTTCTTTTTTGCTTTCTTTCCTTTTTTTCTGTCCATTTTCCTCTTTTTGGTGGGAATTGAAAGGGAAAGAGAGGAAAAGGATAGGATTAACCCCCCTAAAAAAGGAAAGACTGATGGAAGGAAGGAAGGAAAAGAACAAAGTAAGAAAGAAAAAAAGATAGAGGGAGGGAAAATAGGCTCAATGAAGCATTTCTTAGTGTAGCTAAAAGTACAGGACAGAAGACCAGAAGCAATCACGGGGAAGAACAGTATTGTAAATAACACATTGAATTTATTAAAAACAAGCTATAATAGACTTGCAGTTTCATATAGAAACTGTCTTACTGTTTATAAGAAATTATTCATTTTATTTGGTGTTAAGTTTAGAATAAAAAGTAAGGAAATATGTAAGTATATATGTATAAATATGTAAACATACAAATATATATGAATATACATACACACATATATGTATATACATATAGAGTTATCATAGATTGTAAAATGAAAGGATTGTTGAGTAACTTATCTGAATCCAGCTGAACCATAGCTCCAAGACTTATAAAATGCTTTCTCCCCAATAACTTTATGTGCTAGGTAGTACAAGTATTATCAAACCCATTTACAGGAGAGCAAAGCAGTTTATAAAAGTTAAATGACACATCCAGGTTGCCAGTGATTTCTAATTTTGAGAACAGTCCTTCCACACTTCACTGCGAATACCTTGTCAAAGGATAATCCTCATGCAAGCTAGTATTAAACTGGATCTTGAAAATCCTAAATTCACTTTACAGCCTGTGGAAAGTGATGGAGGCCTAAGGATCCTAGTTCCCAAGAAATCATGACCCTAGAAACATTATATACTATAGTATAGATTGATCCCCACATGATGGTATATTTGTTTTACTTCTTATTCATTTCTGAGAGGATCTAACCTCCCCAACTTCTAACTATCCCTCCAAATGGCTCAATGCAGCTTTCTTAGCCCAGGATCCTTCTTCCATGTGGTTATAGTTCCCTTGGTCTCTTTCTAGCTCAGTGATGTATTCGGCTGATTCTTCCCATTCACAGTCTTGATAGGATATCGGACCAAATTTGGCCAATCCAAGCCATCCTATGGTTTGACTGAGATCATATATCTTTTTAATGCAATGAAGGTTCAGTGTGTCTACAGGGGATACAAGTAGGATTTCGGATAAGAATCTTAAGTTTCAATCAGTTTCCTTTTGCTAAACTTGCTAGAAGCTAGAACTAACTGCTGTACCACTCAGGAAAGGAAAAATGGATCTCATACCCACATTTGGTCTAAATGCTTTTCCTATATATTCTGCCATCCAGTGGTATTCTATTAGAAGTCTGGGATGCGTAGGGCAAAAGGAAAAGGTTCCCCTAGACTTACACACACACCCCTGAAATGTATTTTCTCCCTTTTTATGTTCAGTAACCCTTTTATAGAATTTTGTTTCTCTACTGCTATCTTAGCCTAGGGACGACTACAGACCCACTAAAGAGCTACTTTGAGCAAGAGTGGATTAAACCATCATCTACTCCACTTGGCCTGGAAGCAAAAATTCATCTTAATATTGTCACTCAAACAACAAGCAATTATTAAACACCTATTCTGTTCCAGGCATTGTACTAGGCACTGGGGTAACAAATAAAAGTCAAATCAGCCTCTGATTTCAAGGAACTCAGCCTTGAATGGGGAGACAACATGGAAATAATACTAATGTCTAAGGACATAACGATACTTTGAAAATGTCATTTAAAAATATTATTTCACTCATCATGTCATTACTGTTGTATTTTAGTCATCTTCCATTCCTGTTCAAAGATCTTCAGTGGTTCTCTAGTGCCTACTACATCATAACCAAAGCTTCAGAATGGCTTTCAAAGCCCCCTAGAATATAGTTCTAATCTACCTTTCTCTCTAGCCTCATCTCCTACTACTCTCTTACATACATAGTAGGGCAGCAGCTCTTAAAACATGATCTGGGTATCCCAAGGATTCCTCAAAACCCTTTCAGGGATTCCAGAAGATCAAAATTTTTTTTATAATAATATTGGAGCATTTTAATTTCTAACATGGTAAATACTGATAGGTACAATCCACATAAATGGAAGGTCTTTGGGGCATGGATCCTCAATACTTTTGGGGTCCTGACACCCAAAAGTTTGAGAACCTCATTGTGAGGGGAAAAGCCAAACTCAGTCTATTCTGAAATTAATTCAACAACAATCTACTTCCAATATTCATAGGGTCTTGAACAGTTTCTGGGTTTATTTATTTCTCTATTCCTTTGTCCTTGCTGTTCCCCCAAGTACGTATGTTGGCATCCCACTCTTTTTTTCAATGGCAAATTAAAACACCAACTTGTTTCATAGAGCCTTTCTTAAGTTATATCCCTCCCCATGCTTTGATAGGATCCGTCCTTGCTCTGAACCTCTATCATATTTTGTTCCTCTCTTATCACACTTATCACATTCTGCCTTGTTATAGTTGTGACCTTGTCTTATTCCCTTCTTTTTATTCTCTTTGAAAAGGAAGACCCTATTTTCCTACACTGCAGTACAGAATAGAGCCTTGTAAATACTGAGTGGTATGAAATAAATGTACTGAATTGAATCAACTATCACTAATGCTGTACGTCTGAAGTTTAGACTGAATACAAACTTCTCAGAACAAATACCCTTAATAAAAGGATTTGTTCTGTAAAACTTGGACTCAGTCAAAAGGCCTGCCCCAAGAACTTAGAATTCCACATATGGTCTTGAGGCCACAGATTCTTCACCCCTGGAAAAATACACATTAATTCAACAAGTGTTCACTAAATACCTGCAATCAGCTCAGTATGGGCTAGTTTCTGTGTCAGCTATGGAGGAAATTGACAACTTTGTTGTTTACCTCCAACTCTGGGATGGTCACTATCTTCCTGCTTTGCTTCCTTCCTTCCTTCCTTCCTTCTTTCCTCCCTCCCTCCCTTCCTTCCTCCCTCCCTTCTTTCCTTCCTTCCTTCCTCCCTTCCTCCCTCCCTCCCTTCCTTCCTCCCTCCCTCCCTTCTTTCCTTCCTTCCTTCCTCCCTCCCTCCCTTCCTTCCTCCCTCCCTCCCTTCCTTCCTCCCTCCCTCCCTTCCTCCCTCCCTCCCTTCTCTCCTTCCTTCCTTCTCTTTCCTTCCTTCCTTCCTTCTTTCCTTCCTTCCTTCCTTCCTTCCCTCCTTCCTTCCTTCCTTCCTTCCTTCCCTCCTTCCTTCCTTCCTCCCTTCCTTCCTTCCTCCCTCCCTTCCTTCCTCCCTTCCTTCCTTCCTCCCTCCCTTCCTTCCTCCCTCCCTCCCTTCTTTCCTTCCTCCCTTCCTTCTTTCCTTCCTTCCTTCCTTCTTTCCTTCCTTCCTTCCTTCCTTCCTTCCTTCCTTCCTTCCTTCCCTCCTTCCTTCTTCTTCCTCCTCCTTCCTTCCTTCCTTTCCTTCCTTCCTTCCTTTCCTTCCTTCCTTCCTTCCTTCCTTCCTTCCTTCCTTCCTTCCTTCCTTCCTTCCTTCCCTCCTTCCTTCTTTCTTTATCATATTGTGCTACAACTAACATTAAAAAGAGCTTGTTTTGAATACTATGCCAGATGGCAAAAGGAAACTCAATCAATTTAAAAATTATCACCACATACACAACCCAAGCACATATAACCAAAAGCACATAGATTTCATTTGTGAAAACTTCAGTGACACCAGAAGAATTATAATACCTCCTTAAAAATTAAGGATAAATTAGACATGTTTCATGAGTTAATGTTAGAAAAAATAGATAACTCTATTACTTAATAGATAAAAGTAGAATAAGGAATTAATCATTATACAATTTCAGATATGACAATAGGGTTATATACTATATAGAATTAAATATAGATTCTAGAGGACATAGGTTCAAATCTTGCCTCTCACACTTATTAGTTATGTGATCCTAGACCAGTTATTTGACTTCTCTTTCCTTGTCTGTAAAAATGAGGAGCTTGGACTAGTTGAACTATAAACATATGATCCTACTGAATGATCAAGAAAGGATTTTCGATTTTTCTATCCAATGACATGGATGGTTGCATTCTACAATATGCCAAAATATATTTTCACTTTTCATTAAATATTTCCCAATTACACTTAAAAACATTTTAATATCTACTTTTTAAATTTTGATTTCCAAATTCTGTCCCTCTGTCTAAAGAATTCCACACCCCTTGAGAAGGCAGTTTATTGATTATGTGTGTGAAGTCACGCAAAATATTTTTCCCTATTAGCCATGTTGCAAAAGAAAATACCCAAACCAATAAAAAATAGCATGCTTGAATCTGTGTTCAGAGTTCATTAGTTCTCTCTCTGAAGGTGGATAGCATTTTTCATCTTGAGTCCTTTGGAATTAACTTGGATCATTGTCTTGATCAGAACAGCTAAGTCTTTCACAGTTGATCATTCTTACAATATTAGTGTTACTATATACAATATTCTCCTGGTTTTGCTCACTTTGCTTTGCATCAGCTCAT